CCCGCAGAGACGACAAAAAAAAAAAAAAAAAAACAAATAAAAAAGAGGGAAAACCGATCTATATACCTTGGACTCGAGTCTCTTGTCCTCGGTAACCCCAAAAAAACTCTCTACAACCAACTTCATTGGTCTCTTAATACAAATTCATGAGATAAATTTACTTGCATAGAATCGCACACAAGTTAAATTTAGTGTAAATTAGTATCCGGTCTCTTGTTACTAATGTTCTTAATTGGGACCTTATTAGTTTTCAGATTTTAAACGAAATCCCTAGTATTAATGTATTAATGAAGTTATATTTAAGTTACATAACTTTTTAAATAAAAATTAGTAATTGATTTATGTTTTAATACTCACACCCTTATTAAGCTCCTAATTAATTTTTCAATTCAAAACACTCCTAAATAAACTAGAGACCGCATCCAAAGTTCCTTCAATTTATTAGGTAAATCTATATTTTTTCTTTTAAAAAAAAAATTAAACCTATAACGTTTGAACTTAACGTTCTCTATTGTCATCTTTTTTTTTTATTTCATTAAATCATCCGTGCGGATTTTTTTATGTAGTCTCTATCTAATTAGTAGCTAGCTTCTTATTCGCATATTGAAGTTTTAGTATCTAAATGTGCATGCATGCATGGCTGCATCCAAGTACTGCAATATGTTCTGATAATTACATATGGATTGACACTCAAATATGAGTATAAATTCCTAATCAAACTTTTCGTGTTCGAATTATAGAGCTTTGTGTTTATCATCATCACAACCGTTTATCTTATGAATCACTCTGTAAAGATCATGTTTGTAAAAAATAAATTAAAACTAAGGTAGTTTAGTCAATCTATTGTAACAAATACATTGACGGTTCGTAATACTTTTACAAATTTTATTCAATTGTTTCTATATAGTTCGATAACTAAACCACATCAGCCAAAAATTAGGTTTACATCAAAACATAGATTTGTTTGTATTTGATTGATATGCTCACACAAGCTCACACAATTTCAAAGAGGATTGGTTAAACATCTATTCCTTCACTTGGACTTTGGATTTGGCTTCCACCTCTTACTATTTATTTAGCAGCAGCATATGCCATGTTTGGTTCGGCCGCTGTCTGCGTCTTACTGGCTTTACTAATTTAATTTTGTTACATAACACGTTGCATGTGAAAAGGGATTTGCCAAACAAACCCTCACCGATCCACCCTAATTTGTTTATCACTTAATTTTATACCAAACCCCAATTTTAAGATTTTAATACAATTTAGTTGTCATTCAAAAGCAATAAATAATCGAGTTTTAGTTCATCAGCTAAGATGTCGGCAAACGCAACGTTAAATATTAAAATTTAAAAAGACCATACCCTTTAATATTATAAAAATGTTATATAAAAATTAAATTATCAACCCCATGATTGGATCCAAAGTTCAAGTTTAATTATATTGAAAGTAATTTACAACTTGAAGCCTCTCGGAAAACTCATAGCTGAATAGCTTAAGGTTATCTTACTAATTAAAACCCTAGCCGTAGCAGACATGCCTGATCAAAAAGGAGGCAGATCCCTTCTGTTTGGATACCCTTACCATCCTTTTTTATTTGTACGGTCATAGTTAAGTCACGTCAATATTTTATATTCCTATAGCTTTTTGTCTTATTATCTTTATAAAAAAATCAATATAAAATGTTGACGTGACTTAACTGTGACCGCACAAAATAGGAGGGAATGAGAAGGGCACCAAATAGGAAGGCAGACAATCTGCCTCCGTTCAAAAATTATATTGCCATACTTTAGATCTTTAATAAGAACATATATTAATCACAAAATTAGCTAACTCACGTTTGATCAGTGTTTAAGCTATTCACGAAATTTTTGATATTTTTGTCCAAATATTCGAAAAATTAAGAATCGATATGGAAGGGATGAAATGCAAACTTCACTTTATATCGGTGAGATATAGGAAAATCAATGAATATTTATGAATTCACCAATTCACTACAAAAATTTTGCCAAAACCTATCTTAGATTTCAAATTTTTTATTTATTTTTTATTTTTTTATTTTTTTGGAAAATTGTTTCTATGATTTTGACTAAATCTGAAGGAGTTGATATAGCCACCTTATTGCAAATTCCATAATTTCCATCGAATGTAGCTTATATCTATATTGATATATCCATGATTATATAATTTACATTTTGATATTTCCACCTATACCGATATTTTAAACACGTCTGATAAATTTGGTTAAGTAGAAACTCATTCATGTTATTACGAAATTAGGAGTCGGATATTTGAGATAATACTCAATTTGGTTTCAGATTGTGTCCTATAATTTCTATCAACCAATGCACCACATATATCTAGTATCCATATTAATAGTGTTGAGATTGCGGATTTCACATTAGAGAATTAGCAGACCTTATATGCACTAAAAAAAGAGTCGAGTTGCTCTTCCTGTGCTTACCAAACGAAGTGTCTGACGACGGTGTGTACTGTAATCTCCATAGCACATATCATACGATCATGGGACCAAATGTTTAAACTTATTGATTATTCTTAAGAGATTCACTAATTAGGGTGACGGAAGAGGTTCAATCAAGAAAAGCATGGTGGGCAAACTACAAAAGCAAAAAAATAAAATAAGATTTGTCACAAATAAAGTTTAGTGGTTGACCTCGTGCTTAGTTCAGCCATGAATGTGCTTAACACAAATAAAGTTAAAATTATAAAATTAAATAAAAATAATTATAAAAAATTAAAAACTAAGAAAAACCCTAATTCCTTTGGCTTCACCGACTTTTATTTTATTTTATTTTATTTTAATTTTTAATTTTTCCATCAGAAGAGAACAAGAGCACACCCCACTACCACTTGACACACTGGATTCAAACACCAGCCAATTACATATTAGTTGTTTTGTCCGTTAGGCTTCTCTGCTTCTCTGCCTTCCGACCACTCCTTTAAATGCATGATTATATTAATAGGTTGTAACCTTCATTATTTATGTGTTTAATTAATTGGTTAAATAATAATAAATGGTATTCCAGCAAGCTCTTATGCCATACACGTGACCACATACTTAATCACCAGTTTTGTGGGTCACCCTTTTGATCTACGCATCCCTCCACCAGTCAGTTCCGAAGAAGGGAGAATAACTTATATGTTACTGTCATTGTGCTGTTTGTGGCGTTCAATGTCGTATATATAGCAATGTATGATTAATTCAAAACATTACTTATCGATAAATCAGTTTTATGTATGTCATTCTCTAAAAAAGCGGAGCTTCCCACTGCAACCACATATTAATAATGTGCGGGTGTGTTAAGCAAACAGTATAATGCATGTGCTAAGCAAATGGGGTTGTGTTCGAGGGCCATTTAATTTGGTGAAGTTTTGTATTTAGATAAAAATGAGGGGGTTTGATGTGTGCAAGTAGGTGAGTCGGCTCAATCACAAGGGGTCATTTTATGTAATGAACGGCTAAGATTGATTGATATGTCGCTCATCGTCCTTGTGTAAGGTCTCTATCAGGCTTTTTTTTTTTTTTTTTTTTTTTTTTTTGGGGGTCTTCACTTTTTCTCTGGGGACAAGGATGGTTGATGGAAAAAAGGAAAAATAAAAGCAAACTTAGAAGGAATGATACAATCAAAAAGCAAAGGTTATCATCCTTTCATTCTTTGTCAGCGACTATGCCCACCATATGCATTGTGGATAAGCGCCCATACATGACACCCGCTTATCCGAAGCAATTAGACCCCCCAATCCACCCTCATGGATTGTCCGTCGTCTATCAGAATGACCACGATTCATGAGACCAGGTTAAAAAGCAGAGAGGGAAACCACTTGCCTTTTGTTATAGGTTTGTCTTAGGAAATCCCGCTACCAAATAATCCGTCTTTTCAAACAATCTTCGCGATACCATATTGCTTGATGGAAACAACAAAGAGGGCAGATAAATTTTTTTTTTTTTTTCTTTTAAATTTTTTTTTTTTTCTTTTAATTATGAGATGGGGAGAGAAGGAGGAGTTTGTGAAGTCATTAGAGTTGGCTGCTTTGTAACGCAATCACGGGGGTGTGACAAGTCATCAGATGAAGGGCCCCACTCTTAACTATATACAGGTTTTACTCGTACCCAAAAATGGACCTGAAAACTTTTGTAAGCACAGCAATTTTTATTGATTAGGGTTTTTCCCCTGCACCTGAGGTCTCAGGACCAGGTTGCTCATTCTGCGGTATCCACCGACCGGCGGTAGCTGATATCAACTCGTATCTTTTGTGGCGGGTTTCTTGAATCCAGAAAATCATTAAGGATTTATTTCAGTGCCAATTGATCATTCCAGAGCCCAAGGAAAAAAATAGGCAAGGATATGGTCCCATGCATATTTATGCATTTATTAACCAGATGATCAACATTTGCTAATAATAACAATAATAAATTCAAGAGTCAGATACTACAACAACACATCTGAAAGAAACAAACACTTTGAAACTGCAGAGAGAGAGAGAGAGAGAGAGAGAGAGAATGAGATAAGATTGTATCAGTCTACAGCTTAAAAAATAAACTACCATTTGAATCAAAATAAACAGACTAAGCTCTCTCTTCCTTTACTTCTCTACCGGCGGCGCAGGGGAGGAGCGTGTAAATTTAATCTGTCCGGTCGTCCGCTTCAAGACCTATCTTCCATTTCCCCGATTCCTCTGAAGATGCGATAGCTTGTGAGTCTCTAATCAACCCTCCCTTCACCCCCTCCGGTAGCCTTTGTTTATGATCAAATGAATATGGAAGCAAAAACAAACATGAAATTTAGAAGCGTACCAATACAACATTTGGGTAATCCAATACATTGCAGAGCCATTGATCCACAGCATCTGCACACCTCCTCTGAGTCTGGGAAGAACCAAAGCCGAGAAGAAATGCAGTCAGATAGTGCTGTGAATGCCATTGCAATTGTGGCACCTGATCGTCATTGCAACAGCCCCAGCACAGGACTGTAAGTTGTTTACTCACCTTCGTTCAAAGAATCAAAAGCCACTGCAGGAACCATCTCACGGGTTATATAAAAGTCACCCGCAGAACGTTTTTCCCCCAACAAACAAGTGTTTAACGTGCTCAGATGCCACCACAGTAAGAGATGAAACATCTTCAAGCTAAATGCCAGGTCTCAGGATTTCAACAAATTGCGGAATATCATCCCTGGGACCCTCAAGGGATCGGTACATGTATAGCGTATCAAAATTATCACCCTCTTCCTCCCCTTCATTACTCTTCATCACTTCCACCACGAGGCGAGGCAGTTCTCGAGCAATCGCCCAACAACCTTGGCGTGTTAGTGAACACGAAGACATCCAAAGGAATCTCATATTGTAATAGTGGTGCAAACCAGAACACAATGCTGTATCCCCAAATGGGCTGTCCCTTATTTCAAGCTTTTGCAATTTATGGCAGCCCTCAAGCACGTATTTAAGCCCTAAGTCACTATCACCGGCAAAGGCAACTGAAAGGGTTCGAACCAACTTTCCATATTTTCCAATGTAGCTGAATGCTCGATCAGTCAATAAGCCCGACACAGCAAGGCGGGTGAGCTTCTTACAGTTCATAACTATTGCTCCGAAACCTTCATCCATAGGTTCACCAGTAACATGGTCAGGCCGGCGGCGCCCCATTATACAAAGACGAAACACCACAAGCTCTGAGCAATTCTTTGACATTGCTATTACAGCTGCATTTGTCATTCGCTGACAGAAGTATAAAATAGACCGCAGTTTTCTACAACCCTCAGAAATTGCTTCGAAGCCCACCTCAGAAACAGGGCCCTCCGCATCCTCCTGAGCATTAACAGGAAAAACCCGAAGCTCACGCAGTTCCTTGCAAGTTGTAGCCACTGCCTTAAGTCCTTCATCACATATTGAATCGAGTACCTGCACAAAGATATCCATATTAAGCTTCAAAAGTCAATTATCTCCAGTGTTTACGCATTAATCCACAGAACACATACCCAAAAAGACTGGAGTTTGTGGCATTGGGATATGGCTGGTTTAAGTTGTTCCGCAGTGATGTTCGCATAGCTCAAGTTCAAAGAGGTAAGATTACTACAGACAGGGTAAATTGCAGGAATGTAATCCAGCAAGATCTCCCGGAACCCAGAGAGACAAACTAAGGATTTGCAAGCAGCAAAAGCAGAGACATAATCCAGTTCTTGATCACCCTGAGCCATGCCCTCAGATAAATTGAACGAGCCCGTTCCTAAGTGCGTCAGTTGAGGAGCTCGGACCATCAGGCGGTATAGCTGCCCAATTGAAACATGGCGGTTCAACCTCAGTTTCTTCAGGGAAGGTGACCTAGCCACTAGCTTCTCCAATGCCTCGAAATTTATGTGGCATTCCACACAATCGAACATCAGAGATTCGAGAAACGTTTGACTCTCTGGAAAACAACATATCCAATCCACATCATCGTCCATAACTTCGGTTTCGGTCAGATCAAGCACTCTAAGCTGTCTGCAGAATACACACACACATACACACATTAACCCCACTATTCGATTCCCCACTGCAAATTCACATCATCTAGGCACTTCATTGATTCAAATGCTTCATATGGAAAAAAGACAAAGCAGTTTATCCAAACAAACCCAGAAGCCCGAAATAGATCTAAAAACACTAATCAGATCCAAACAATAATACCCATTAAAGCTTCAACCTTTCTACTCAAACCCCAATTAAAATCCATTTCACGGAACTAACCCACCATTGTTTACACTAATAAAAACTTAATTAAGAAATTGATATGAAACTAATAACGAAATTAGCAAAAGTACCTGCACTTGCTAACGACGACGGCGAGCCCACTGGTCCCGAACCCATCGCAGCAAACCAGGACGAGCTCCTTGAACCCAGCAAACGACTCAGCCAAGAGGGCAAGATCGTCATCCGTCACGGACATCCGCTTCAGGCAGAGCTTCTCGAGCCACGGGTACGCCTTGGCCATGGAGGACACCCACGGCGCCAAGTGGGCCCCCCAATTGGCCGGCATGAGGTTGAAATCGGCGAACCGGGGCTTGCCCTTGATGGTCACGGCCAGGACCCGGGTGAACCGGGCCGTGGCCCGGCGGGGAGAGACGGCGTAGCAGTTGCCGATGAAGAGCTCGGATCGGGTGAGGGCTTCCGCGCGGTACCAGGACTTGCAGACCAATGAGGCGGCGCTGCGGTCGCGGCGGGAGGTGAGGAAGCAGAGGACGTTTTCGAGAACATTCTCAAGGACTTGGTCCGGATAGGGGACGGTGTACTCGACGGAGGTGCCGCCGCCGGACACAGAAACTCCGGAGCAGTTGCGGGACTTGGTGGAGGGGATTGGACCGTCGATGAGATCCAAGGACGGAGATCGGTCGTCATCCTCGGACATTTGGGATGAGGAGGATGAAGGGATTGATGGGTCCTCAACCATAAAAGCCCTTCCTTGTCACTTCTCTCTCCTCTCTCCTCTCTCTCCTCTCTCTCTCTTAACAATCTCTGAAACTGGGATGGTGATTTGAGTTGTGGGTTTTTGATCAACTAAAAATATCAAAAATCGAATCTTTTTTGGTGAATTTTTAAATCAGATCACGTTATGGGGCTCTGATGGAGGAGTGAATTGGATTTGGGGGTTTTGATTTGATGAGAGAAAGAGGAGAGAGAGAGAGAGAGAAGGATAGAGAGGTGGGTGTGAGTGATCTGCAGAGAAATGGAGATGATGGGTTGGGATTAATTTAACAATTAATTGGTCACAGGGGGAGAGTGAACAGTAGGGCTATGGCTATGCTGTCTGTGTCTCAGTGTCTCTCTGAGCATTGGGATTCTCCATGCTTTCTCTCTCTTGTTTCTCTCTCTTTTATCTGTACTATCCATCCCATCCAATGGCTCTCCACACTTCTCCTCCTCCATTATTTGGGGTTTTTGCCCTTTACAATCCTTGTCTTTTTTCTCTCCTTTTCTTTTTCTTCTAGGATTAGTATCTCCTTCTTTCTTTCCTCTTCCTTTTTCTTTTGCTATTTTCTCCCTAACATTTCGTGTAAATTTGTGGACAACCCCCTTTTGGTCAGTAAATTTGTGGACAACTCCCTTTTGGTCAGTAAATTTGTGTACTGTTCCTTTCTCACTGCTTACTTTTACTTACATTGGTAGTAGGTTTAAGCTTGGTTTATATTACGATTTACTAATATTTTAATTCAAGAAGTTTTAGATTTGATTTTCGTCAACGGTGAATTTTAAATACATTTATATTAATATTTTTTATAAAATGTTAGAAAAAGTGAGTGTGACACCAATATTTTGAACTCATATAAAAATCACAATTTTATAGTAAGTCAGAAAATTTAAATGTAATATCAATATTAAACTCAGGCTGCCTGACTTCTATACATAAGTATTACACTTAATCAAACTACTATAAAAGACAAGAAGTAGATGAATAAATTACTTCCGACTCGTCAACCCTAAGCTGAATAAATTGGTTTGACTTCCCTTGCATATAGATTGAAGAGTTAAAATATTGTAGCTCCCACATTATAATATGTAATTCGATACTTAAAAATAAATAACTTAAACATGAATTGATTTTACCAACCATATGAAAGGAAAAGGATTCCATGATTATGGTTGTTCATCGTACATCATGCGGTCAATTTTCGTTAGGTATTATTTATATTTAATTTTAAATTTCAAATAATTTCTGACCGTACGATGTATAATGAACGGATATAATCACGGGATCCCTCAAATCCCTAGGAAAAGGATCGGATCCTTTTCCCATATGAAAAAGCTAAAGGAAACAACAAATAAGCAACAAGAAGAAATAATTGGTTTTAACTTGTGGTTTATATAACCTTTAAAACAAGTGCGAATTAACTTGAACTTGGTGACAATCAACAAGTGGGAGTTAACTTAGCCTGACGTTATTAAAACTGATTGAATATTTATCGAATTAGATCCTTTCCTGAGCACAAGCTCATGATCCTCCTGACCAACACGTGAGCTATTGAATTTTGATCCAACGGCTGCAAATAAGGGATTCATCTAAAAGTTACAATAATTGTAACCGATCCAATGGCTCACGTGGGCTGGTCAGCAGGATCCTAAGCTTGTGCTCAGGAGAGGATCCAATTCCAATATTTATATATGTCTCTCGTTAACTAAAATCCGTTAAACCAGTTAGTAAAATTACCAAGAAAATCCCAACGATAAACTAATTATAAGTGATCAAAGTTGAAAGCTGAAACAATCACACTAGTCAACACTAATTAGAGACCAAAGTTTCATGTACAAATGAGAATAAACTGGAGTAGCAAACGCCTCGAGAAAAATTAGCTTTCCCGCTCGCAAAGAGATATTAAACTGGAGTATCTAAAGGAATACTTCAAATTATCGCATTTATTTGTCAATGAAAGTAAGCAAGTTACTAAGACTTTATTTTATTATCTTTTGCAAAAAAAAAAAAAAGTACTTATAATTGGAACCATTCATATCATTTTATAAAAATCTTTGAAAAAAAGCTGAATCAAAACTAAGGTCGTTAAGTGAATCAATTGTAGCAAATAGATAGATAATTCGTAATACTTTTACATTTCTATCCCAAGAAGATCTATGGATAAAATACGAAAAATTTTGAGTAGGAGGGCTCGTCTAGTCAAGTATCATTCTTCATAATATAGAACTATAGGACAAAAGAAAAATCTTATTAAGATAAGAAATTTTACATGAGTTACATCCACAATTAGAAAAAGAAAAGGTTTCTGTCAGTACGTACGCTTTCTCTAAGAAAGTGAAGGCACGGTCCAATCAAAAAGGAGTGAACAGTTGTATTTCCCTGGAGCTCCTTCAGGGGCTGCTTTTGAGAAAAGGCTGACGAAACGAAAGGTAGAAAATACAACTGTTTGGCGTTATATGCACGCGCAGTATATTCGCGTCAGTAAACTGCCAACTCTCTTTACTCTCTTATTTTTTTTTTTAAGAAAACTAATGAAAATGATTTGAAAATTTTGAGTTTTAACAAAAAAGATAAAAATATGTTGTAAGTGAATAATACCAGGATTAAATTTTTAGAGTAAAAATATAATTTTTCATTAAAGTAAACAGTATCAGGAATTTTTCGTTAAAGTTTCATTTCATTTATTCTATTTTCCTTCGTAGCAAAATATTATAAAAATTAACTAATAAAAAAAGTGGATGGAATTGCAAGTGAATTCTATCAGTCTCTTTCTTTTTCGGAGTAGGATTATCTCCTCTTTTTTTTTTTTTTCCCTCCCTTTCTGTTTGAATGATCACGGTTAAGATGCGTTAACATCTTATATTAATTATTTTATAGAAAGAAAAAGACAAAATAAAGAATGTGAGAAGAGAAGATGAAAATAGATGAAAAGAGGAAATGAGAGAATTGTAATCTTTATTTTTATTAAGCTTGAAATACGGTTTTTTTTTTTTTTTGGTAAAGGAAGTACAGTTGCTTAGGTTGCGACTATCATTTGTCCCTTTAACTCTTGTCTTATGTGTAACATCTTTGTCTTTTTATTTATTTAATTATTTGTGATTTTTTTGGAAAAATAACATTTTACCGCATTAATTTTAGTTCACATAGTAAATTCATATTTCACCTTTTAAATATTATAATGTCATATATCAATTTACGGATTTAATATAATGTCATACATCAACTTATAGATTCGATATAATGTCAAACATTCGTCTCTGTTAGTTAAGTTAAAGGTTACTGCAGAGATTATAGGCCTTTTTTCTTTTAGAGGCCTTTTAATGATCCTAATTGCTGTTGAGCCAAACACTTTATTAGCATGTTTTTTAGTTACAAACTTCACTAAAAAAGTAGATTACGTTAATGATATATTTTTTTTTTTGGAGAACTGATTTGGTATTAATAATCACATCTTAAAGTGTTGGACAACTTGTCAATTGTTGATAATGTCGTAACAAGTGAGGATACTTGCTGGATCCTATTTTTGAGGATTCTGGGATCTTCAATTAATATCTGTTTATCGTATATCGTGGGTCAAAATCATTGTAATTTTTTTTTATATTTAAAATTGAATATAAACAGTACCTGACAAAATTTGACTGCACAATGTATAATGAATGGATGTGATTGAATGATCCCTAGAATCCTCACAAAAAGAATTCGACGAGGATCCTCTCTCATGTAGTAACATTAGGTAATGTACTTTGTAAAGTCAAGTGGAGACCTATTTAAATCAACATAGTTCTTTATATACGGTCACAAAGATACGTAGGTCGCAAGAGGATTTCTAACTTGTTTAAGACTGGGCACTGCTCTACATGGTTGTTCCTACTGGAAGAGTTGTTGGATCATAAAGTTTGGATCTTCTTTGGTGAACATTGGGACTTATTTAAGTGCTCATACATTGGGACAACATGGTGATCCCTCCATACTGAGTGCATACTTAAAAATTGAATGTATAAAATGTCGTTTGATTCTTTAAATTATTGAGTCAGTTGAATTGATCATCTGAGCGATTTTTAGTAAATTGACCCTTGAACTATTTTAAATCAGCTAATTAACCCCTTACTATTAGATTTGAGAAAATTTCATCCACTTTCCCGTTAGATTTGACGGTAAATTCGTCATCTTATCTGTTGGACCAAGAATGAAGATTTTGGAAAGAAAAAAACACCCAGGGTTGTGGCTCATGGATTGCCTATGCTGCAGGTGGAGGAAAGTTTGAAATTAGACATCTAAGAGTGGCAGATTATGTAGTTGATTTGAACAAACACACATGTTCTTGCCGAAAATGGGATCTATGTGGTTTACCTTGCGGCCACTTCATGTCTGCAGAAACATCATTCACCAATGCACTATGTCAACCCTGCATGGAATAGCTTATGGCAACTTCACCTCTCCGATGTCCAGCCAAGAAATGTGGTTCAAAACTGGTCATGGCCCATTAAGCCTCGTAAATTTGTTGACTTTTTATAATTAGTCAATTTTTTCTTTTGAACTTTTATAATTGGTTAATTTTTTCTTGAAATTTAATTTCAGCCGATTACCCCCTAAACTTTATAACGGGCCAATTTCTTCCATGAACTTTAATTTCATAATTGACAAGTTTCTAGTAATGAACTTGTTGGGGTGAGTAATTATTTTTCGTATTTGAATTTGGAGCTTGAATTGAAATAGGTGAACCGAGGTGGTCATGTGAACTAAGTCATAAGGAAGGTTAATGAAATGACATCACAATCCCAACATGTTACTGAAAAAGTAAGACCATAGAGAAGATTCATAGCATGAGAGATAATTTCAAACAAAAAATACACAGGAATGGAGTGAACTAGCGGAAGAAAAAGAAAAAGATACGTTGCCTTGTTAGGATAAAATTACCTTTTCGGCCATGACTTGTCAAGATTTGGGCCTATTGACTATTTGACTACAAAATGGACTGTGCAAATTCCCCTCTTTACAAACTGTCCAAA